CAGATGCCTGTATAGTACAAATAATGTCTCTTTCACCCCCTGATGGCATGAAGTCTCTTTCTCCCAGAAGACCCCAGGCAAGAATTGTCTACCTTTGGCTGAGGTTCATGCCTGTAATCCCAGCTTCTCTGAAGGCAGAGATCAGGAGGATCACTCTTTGAGTCTGGCCAGGCCAAAAAGTTAGATTCCCATCACAACCAACAAGCCAGGCATGATAGCCTGCTCCTGTAATCCAAGCTACGCGGGAGGCATAGGTAAGAGGATCTCTGGCTGAGTCATGCCCTGGGTGAAAACACAAGACCATTTCTGAAAAATAATTGAAGCAAAAAAGGCTGGGGGCACCACATCTCAAGTGGTAGAGAGACTGCCTAGCAAGTGTAAGGCCCTGAGTTCAAGCCTCAGTACTGCCAAAAAAAATTAAAAAAAAAAAAAAAAAGAATCACCTACCTTCTATCTAAAAATCATACCCCCATGGATCAATGAGTACAGCTATTCAACTATGTTCTGATTCTCCCCCAACCAGGATGAGCCAGAGAGGCCCTGGCAGTGGGTCAGAGATCTGTGTGGTGGTCTTCAAGCCTCCATCACACACTCTCCAGAGACCTTCCCTGTGAAGGAGCCAAGTGTGCTAAAGCTAAAGCCAAGACTGGGCCTTGCCCTAGTCCACAGAGATGAGGTCACCACCCTCCCCAGGACCCTGGACAGAGGGGCCAACTTAGCTCTAGCCAGCAGTATGTTAAGAGCCTCTGCCTCCAGGAGATGGTTTATGGATGATGGACTTTGTTTATTATTAATCCATTTATTTCTCTTTATGCTCACCAGTGCTTTCAGAGTGCTCTTTGATGGGCATGTAGTTCTTTTATGATAATCCAACTGTTTGGATCTGGAAGCAAGGCAGGGAGTGTCTCACTGAAGACCAGGTTCCACAGATACACAATGCCCAGGACTCCCTATGGGCAAGCTGCTCCTGTCTGACCTATAGTGAACCCAAAGGTGTCCTGAAGAACACCCGAAACCCAGGGCCAAGTGAACTCTCCCTGGGAAGATGGTCTTGCTGGGTGTCAGGGCCTCCCTCAAAGAAGGAAGCTCACCCTGAGATGGGGCTGGAGGCTGGAGCTTTGGGGTATTCACCTCCTGTAGGGAAGAGGTCAGGGAAAGAGGCTCTCCAGCTACTGGCTCCTGACCCTGTGGAATTCATGTGCTACAGCAGGGAGTGAGGGCAGGGGGCCACCTGGAAGGTGTCCTTTCCGGAGAAGAAGCATCAAGGGTTTCCTGGTGACAGGGGATAGATGTGAGGCTCTAAAGCAATCATTGCCACCAGTGCAGAAATTCCCAAACCTAGCCATTTTTCCTCCTGTGTTCTCGGCTCTTCTAGGTACTGTGTGGCACTAGATATACTCAGTGACTATGTGCAGATGACTTAGTTGAGATGAGTTGCAACTCATTTGAAACACAGCTGACCCTGGGATGAAGAGGAATCTAAAGCTCTTACAGAGCCCCTCCATTTGCTCAGAACCCGAGTGGCCCCAGAGACCTGGCATGGGGAGGCCCTCAGGAAAGAAAAGGAAGGACAAAGGGAGTGGGGAACAGTGAACTATGTATGGTGTTCTGCTGTGGTTTCCACACTTGTCCCAGCCTCAAGGGGCTTCCAGAGCTGCCCCTGCCCCTTCTCCTGCTTCACCTTGCTCCACACACCCAGGGTTGACTCCTTCAGCCACATCAGCTCTCTCAGACCTCCAGCTGTGCTGTGCCACTTGCTCCTGTGTACATCACTCCTTTCCCTCTGCCTCTTTCTCCCATAGCATGAATTCCCTGCAGGTCTCATGCTGAGCATCTGAGCCTTGGGTGGCTTCACTCACCTGGCCTCATGAGCGCTCCCTCCAGGAGCACTCACAATACCCAGCCCTGGGAGCACTCCTGTATCCTTAGCACACTGCCCATTGTCTGGCATATAGTTTGCAAATAGCCACTGGTACAAAATGGGAGGGCCCTGGCCTGGTCAGCAGGGGTGATGGCCTTGGAGACTGGAGTCACCCACCCCTGACCCTGGCTTAACTTCTAGATATGTAGTGGTTGCCTGGGTAAAGAAGCTGGAGGCCTGTGAGCTCCCAGTGAACTGGGATGAGATAGGAGGGCAGAGCCTAGGAGGTCGCCATAGCACCCCAGTACCCCTGCAGGATCCATCTCATAGTTCCCTGGCTGTCAATACTGGAGGCATTGTGTAGCTGCAGACCGTTGGCATAGGGCAGGAGATTACTCAGGGGAGCCCTGTGTCCCACCAGCGCCCATGAGGAAGGTTAGGGGATGAGCTTGGATGAACTGTCGCTACCTGTCTCACCTGGCTGGGCGTAGTCTTCAGGTGGCCCTGCCACAGCAGATCTTGGAATCCTCAATGATGACTGCCATTCTGAGGACAGCCTCCTATTGGTGCCATGAGTGTCACTGTGAACACTAGCTTCTCACCATCTGGGTACAAGTGCACACCTCTGGAGAAGCCTGAGGGTCCCTCCAGCGCTGGGCCATGCAGAGTCTCCATGGGGATATTTCCATTTCCATTCACCCCAACAGCTGCACCTCCATGCCTACTCTGTATCCCCACTTTTGTCCATTTACTAGTGCCAGAGTTCATCCTCTTTGGAGGGTAATGGACTAGACCAGGGAGAGTATTCCTCTCTTTGCCCCAAACTGAGCTTTTTCCAGTCTGCACATCCTCCCTGGGGTGGTAGTAGCTTTGTGATAGCACAAGGCCACCATGTTCAGCACTGCACAATTATGCAACCCTGAGAACTGGCTGTGCCAGCTGATGGCCCTAGGAACTCCTAGGAGTTGATCTCCTGCAAGGCAAAAGAAGGACACATGTGAACAGGGTTGGGGGATGGGAGAGAGCCCTTCTTGTAGGAGCATGGAGACTCCCAGGGAGCAAATAGATTTGATTATATTAAACATGACAATCGATTTTTTTCTAAATGTGCAGGAGGAAATAGTAACGGGCATCTGTTTCTGACAGGATCAATTGACCCCAAATTGGAAGAAAATCTAGAAACACAAATAAGCAGAAGAAAAAGTGGTTGGGCATCCAGGCTAGTGAGAGAGGAAGGAAGAACAGAGAAACAAACACAACTGCTCTTCCTCTCATTTCTTTCCTCACCAAGGACTTCCCTGTTTGTGGCTCTTCAGCAAATGTGGTTCCAATAATGAAGAAGTGGGAAGTGGCTACCATTTTATGAGTCCTCGCTCAGTGCCAAGCTGGTGCAAAGCCCTTTGTGTGCATATCTTAGTTAATCTTCCTAATGACCCAGTGAGGAATGCACTGTTACCCCACTTCTCAGATGAAATCAGTGAGGCCTCTTGTTCCAGGTTCCACAGCCTGGCAGCAGTGGAGCTGGGACTCAAACCCAGCTCTCCAGCACTGCTTTCAATTGACTCTCCAATCCCCAGCTATTTCCCTGGTTCCTTCAACTGGCCTTGGAATTAAAGGGAAGAGGCCCAGGCCCCAGACAGTCCATCCCAGCACCCAGGCCAGCGTCACCCTGGAATGGACAATAAGGAGCCCACTCTTCAGGATTCAGCAAAGCCAGTGCAGGAAGTACTCCATCCCCCAAGGAGGATGGTGGTGGGGAAATGTGGCTAGAGAGGCTGTGCTGCTCTGTGACTTCTCTGCAGCTCCAGTTTTCAGGCTATGCCCTGTGTGATGCTCATCCTAGTTGCCCGTCACCAGCAAGATAAACTATATCATGTCACAGTGCATCACAGGCCTCATTTGCCAAAGCACTGTGCAATTTTGATGCTGTTCAGCAAGCATGCCTGTGATAAAAGGCCTAAGAGTAATGGGCTGTGTGCTTCGGGTTTAATTTCCTAAAGCTTTCTTTTGTTTCTTGGTCATGGACTTGTGTACACATGTTTGTTTTCAAGTAATCCAGCTCTGGGAGTGTACCTAATTACCTTAAGCAGGGTTTATTAGTCCTGTTAACTAAAACTCCCTAATCTATGAGGCCAAGTATCCGAAAGCAGCCTTGAAGGTAGGATTAAGACAAAAAGGAACTATTACAGTAGAGGAATCTAGTTTTTGTAGAGGAATCTAGTTTTCCCTCCAGCACATATATGGAAGACACATGGGAGCCCCACAGGAAGACAGTTGTTTGTAACTGCCGCTGTCATAGGATGCTGAGGAGGCATCTCCTTAGGGGAGAAACCCTCCCCTACCCCTCCTGGGACTCACAGAGCTTGTGTTCATCACCTCTGAGAACCTCTTAGGAACAAAATTCCTCCCACCTACCATCTTGAACCAATGTTTACAAACAAGCATTGATACCCTCTTATCCAGCAAAGCCTCCCTCAGAGGGGCTGCTCACTGGGATTTCAATGAGGAAACCAATCTTTTCTACCTGAGTCCTTCATTTTCCTCAGCAGAAAGGGTGAAGGAAAGAAGTGGTTGGTTTCCAGCAAACACCTTTGGATCTCTAACCTAGGGGTCCCCAACACCTCTGCCCTGTGACGGCACTGTTCTTTGGTGTCCAAATATGAGCAACCCAGCCCCTGCATACACTCCAGAGATACTTGTCTGGGAAAACACTTGCATTGAACCCTGTGATTGCCTCCCTTTCCAAAGGCTGTGGGTTTGAAATAACCCTTATGTCCCTTGGTCTAGCTACAAGGTTGTATGAAGGTGGTTTGTATCTGTAGCATAAATAAACAAGGTAAAAGCAACCTCTCTCCCTGGGACACAGCCACTGCCAGCTGCAGGGAGGGGCCTTCAGGGTCCTGGTGGCAGGAAGGCTGGCATGGCCAGAGGGGCCTGTGTTTCTGTTCTTCAGGTATATTTCTAAGGTCCTGGACCCTGCAGCCACACCGACCAAAGCAAAGATAAGCAAGGAAATGGGGGACCACTTCCTCAGAAAGGCCAGTCAGTGGGGACAGCTCTGCCCCAGACTGTAGAGTGGCCACTCAGAGAAGAGAGGATGAGTCTCTACCTTTGATGCCAGTTTGAAAAAAAATCACAGCCATGGCACATTACCTGGGCCTCATTAAGGTAATGGCTGAGTTGTTGGGCGGGACTGGCATGCACCAAGCACTGCTCTGGGCTCAACACTAAACTAGGCCTGTTGTTAATGCACACAGTCATTAGGACAGTGGCTAAGAATGCAGACTTCAGAGCCAACAGCCTGAGGTCAGTGGCTGCCTCCGGCTTTATAAGCTAGTGGGTCTCCAGAGACGCCTCACTTCAGTGGGCTTCCATTTCTCATCTGCGAACCTCACTGGGTCATTGTGAGGATTAGAAGAGCTAAGACGCGTAAAGTGCTTAGTGGTGGTCAGTTTTGTCATCACCATCATAATTTTTATCATTATTCCCTCCTTAAGCTTTGGGCCATCCTTTACTGTAAGGTAGGACTACTGTTATTCCCACTTCACAGGTATTTTCCAGATGAAAAATCAGGCTCTGAGAAATCAAGCAACTCTCCCCACTTGTGTTCATGAGTTAGGACCTGATAGAAGTCAGGTGAAACCCAGGTGGGCCAGTATGCATGCACGTGCCCTCCCCACTACACCAGTGGCCTCCCTGACAGAATGGCTGCCACCAGGAACCATTGTTACCAGAAGTTTTGGTTGGGGTCCTCAGTTCTTGTATTGCCATGAGAGAAGATTTCAAGTAAGATACAAAACACTGTGAAAGTAATAGCAAAGTTTATTGAGAATAGTAATGTTTATTCAGAGAAGCATGGGCCATCTCAGAGAGGATATCAGTAACGCACTTGCTTGTATCCTAGCTTTATTGGGGCTAAGGGGAAGTTTTTGGAGAGCCTTTTATAAATTTTTTAAGACACTATCGGGGTTTTTTTTCTCAATTACATCTTATTATAAACCCTACCATAATCCTTCTACAGCATGCTTTTACCCCCCCTGGTTTTGTCCTCATCTCAATATTTCCATTTTGCAACAGTCCTTTAAGACAAAACCTTATTTTATCTGGTGAAAACCTTTTCTTATCCAGAAAATGTCCTCTTACTTATAACTTTGTCTCTTCATGCCCTAAACATAGCCCATCAGTTATATAAATCTTACTGCATTCTTTCTGTGGCATGCTTCTAACCTTATGGTTTTGCCTCTCTGTTTGCATGTTGTTCCCTTGCATGCAAGGAACAATGCATGCCCCTTGTTTTTAGGACAAAAACTTTTTTATATGCAAAATCCCTTTTTACCCAAAAATGTTCTCCTTTATAACATTTTTACATCTCTTTATGTCCTAATTGTTGCTTCCTTTTTACCCAACACTATATTCATGACAGAAGAAAACAAAGATCACCTGTTCACATATAACTATAGAGATTATGAAAACTTTGCTGACACTTAGATTTTTAAAAGGGTGTATTTACACATTTCCCCCCTTTGGTCTTCATGAATCTAAGAGTTACAGAATGTTATATTCCAGGTAGGACTGGCAAAGATAACAAAACTTCCAAAAGATCTTGAACAGAAAGACTATCTTAGTGCAAGCAAGAAGAAGGCAAAAGGGAGAAAATACACAAAGAGCCCCACATTGATGGGCAATTATTTTGTCTTCCCAGACACAGGAGAAAGGAAGAATAAATCTCTACTGTTGTATAAGTTTTTCAAGATAATAGCCCATAATAAGGTAGTTCCTCCCCACCTCCTCCGTACTGATAAGGAATCAGGTGAGTTTCCCAGAATTAGAGGAGATTAAAGTCACCTGCTGCCACAAAGAGGTTTCCTCTTACCTTCTGTCTTGACTCATCAAAATGTGTCACCAGATTCAGGTCACTGAATCTGGGGAACAGAAAGTTCTGATCTTGTTAGAGAAAGAATTTAAGGGTAGATACAAAGCGGACTTAAGCTGGAACAGGTTTAGTAATTCAAAGCAAAGTACATTCTCCAGATGGAAAGCTAGGCAGGCTCAAGAGGGGGCCCTGTGCTTGAAGGTCCCAAGACCTCCAACTTTTATTGGGTTCTGCGAGGAGTTGCCAGTCCTGGAAAACTGGGCTGTGTGTCATCAACTCCTCCCAAACGTTGGGCAGGGAGACTTTTTGGAATTGGATAGTCAGACTGGGTCTGTTATTTTCTGTAGACTTTAGGGTCTAGGGGTCAACAAGATCCATGAGTCATGCTGGTAACATCAGCAGTCCAGGATTTGATTCTTTGTCAATATCCAAGTCATCAATTCAGCCATCAGATTTCCTAACCCCCTGCAATAGCCCCCTGCCATGTCACCATGGCCCTCCCAAGGGCTATGGGACAGCAAGCACCCACAAAACTCAAGTAAGCACCAGCTACCTCAGCCCCCTACTCTCCAAGGCTCCCTGCTTGCAGGGAGCATGTTTGGAATCTTGAATGGCTCCACAATGCTTGCCCTCACCTTTGTGGCCCATGCATTCCAAGAGACCTGTGACCCCCAGCGCCCAGAGCACCTGCCCTGCCGGCATGTCACTGCCTCCATCAGTACTTGACCCCCAGCTCGGGATGAGACCCCAAGGGGCAGGCCAGAGACCCACAAATGATTCATGCTGCTCTGAGGAAGCCCAGGTCCTGTTAGTTTTAGCAAAAAGAATACCTCCTAACTTTCCCCACACCACTAACTGTGCAGGGAGCATGGCGGGGGCTGGGAAGGTAACCTCAGCTTGCCCTGAGCGGAGTTAGTTGTAAGCATCTAACAACTAACCCATGTGGCTCTCAAGTAGCTACCAAATAAACAGAAACTTTTGGGCACATTGCTCTAACTGGGCAGAGATGTGCCTGAGGCACCTGAAACCATTAACAAGCATGGTAATTGGACTATGATTTCTTCTTTAAAATTTAATACATTTAAAGCCCATTTCATAAATCTGTCAAGCTAATGTGGGTCTTTCCTTGACACTGAATCAAAGACGCTGGGAAAAACTCATTGGTCCTATGAAAAGTTAATCAATTTCCAATGTAGAAAGACAAAGGGAAATTTCCATCTTTGGAAGATTGATCTCAGGCGTTATGGTTGATCTCCCTTTCATTGAACACACTCACTTGCTGAGTGAAGGGTCATTTTTTTTAACATTATCACATTAAATTGCCTTTAATGTAGCAGTCCCCACTCCCCCCGCCATCTCCAAATAAAACCAAATCATTTCCTTTCTTCTGAGATTTCCTTCTGCGCATCTTCCATGCCAGACCTTTAGCTCCCTGCACTCTGGCCTCTGGGTCCAGCTGAGTGAAAGTACCTAAAAATTTTCCCCTTAGTGACTTGCAGCATGTGGCCAGCCATGATGCAGAGGCCTTTGTGTCTTGTGGGCTGGGCCATGACTACAGAGCAGTTCAGGAGGGTCTACCCTGGCCCTTGTGCCAGGATTCCAAGTTTGTGACCCTAGTAGGACATGGCAGACAAGGCGGGTACAGACCTGGTTAGTAGAATGCAGCCAGCTTTCTGGAGATTGTGTGGCTAGGGAATGGTAAGGGTTTGTGGGTGGGTGGGTATAGCAATGGAACAGTGACCACCAGCTCTGCATAGCAGGGAGGCAGGGGACCTGGGTTCTGACACTGAGGTCAACCACTCTTTGCTGGGTTCATTTGGTCAGGCCCCTTCTTTGTTTCCCCATTGATAGTACAAAGAGGTAGATCAGGTGGTCTCAAAGATCCTTCCCAGCTCAGACTGTGTAGGGTCTGTCTGTCCAGAAAGGGAGAAGACAGACCTGAGTTCTAGTCTAGACACTGTTCCAACCCCTGTGTGACCTTTGGGAAATTGCTTCCCTCTCTAAGCCTCAGTGTGTTCATCTAGAAAACGAGGGGTCAGACAATACAAAACTAAAAAGCATAGGGTACTGCCCAAAGCCTACTGGGCTTCCCTAGAAACCCAGCTCGGCCTGAGCCATTTTTCCAGAAATGCCCATGATTCTGAACTCACTGGCCTTGTCCCTCCTCACCCCACAGTACATGCTGAAGGAGCAGGATCTGGATGGGGACTTGTTGGGGTGCTCGCCAAGTGATCTCCTCCGATTCGATGACTACAACAGTGACAGCTCCCTGACCCTCCGCGAGTTCTACATGGCCTTTCGTAAGTCAAGCCTGGTGTGGGGTTCCAGGCCACAGGGGCTTGTTTCCACAGATGTTCCTATACCATGGTGGTGGCACGCCTGGAGTCTGGCTTTAGTAGTCTGCCAAGTGGGTTTCTCTTAGAGGGAAAGCAGTTGAATTTGTTTGCATGAAGGACCTAGGACTGTGAGGAGAGTGTAGTTGTGAGAGGGAATTCTGTGAGTGTACATGGAGGGAATAGGTTTTAGGGCTATCCACAGGCTGTGGCCTAGTCCCATTGGGGAGCCCTGCCTGTAGGAAAGACTAGGCATGAGGCTTGGCATGAGCCAAGAGCAGTTACTTCCCAAAGACAATGGACATAAATGGTTCAAGTTGAAGTGAGTTGGGGGATTCCTGGAGAAACCCAGAAAGGAGGTGTTCTTGTAAAAATGGAGGAGGTGCTTTCAGCAGCCCCGTGTGTGGTCTCTGGTTCATGTTGTGCATGAGTGGAGATACCTCAAGGACCTGTGACTTGGCCCTGCTATGATGTCAGTTTAACCATGGGCAGAACTAGGGTGAGGTCTCCAAGAGGTATGAGATACAAAAGCCAGCCCCAGAGAACTCCACGGAAGTCTGGGAAGGAAAGAGGTGGAGCCCCTCTGAGGGCAATCAGGCTTTGCTTGGAGCAGGTGGACCACACGCCCTGTATGATATAGCCTTGGCCGTGACCATAAGCGCACAGTGCCAACTGCAGGCCTTGGCCTTGGGGAGGTGGTGTGAGCCCTGAAAGGACCGAGTACCCTGAGCTATAGAATCTGTATCATCCCTCAGTCCCAACCCTAACCTGGAATTTCACTTTTCAGGAGAGTGTTTCTGCTTTGTTGCATTGAGCTGTTGGTATTCTAAATATTCATAGGGCCTGAGGAGTTCCTGTGATTTGATGACAAAAAAAGAACTCTTGTAGCAAATAGAAGAGCTACTTGGATGACATAAAGGAGAAAAAGAAGTGTAATTCTTCACTATGGGAAGTGCCCAAGAGTTTGACATAATGGGGGTGGGGAGGCATCCTGACTACCAAGGGTCAAAGTCCAACCCGAACTTCAGGGTTTTGCCTGATACACTGTGATTAGTTTGATCCCCAACCTCCCTGCCTACTAGCAAAACCCATATCTGGGTTATGAAGTAGGATTATCTTTAGCTTTTTAATGAAGCTCCATGCTGATTTCCATAGTGGTTGCACTAGTTTACATTCCCACCAACAGTGTATACAGATTCCTTTCTGTCTTTCCACCCTCCTGAGCCCTCACCAGCATCTGTTGTTCTTTGTTTTCTTGATGATTGCCAATTTGACTGGGATGAGATGGAATCTCAGTGTAGTTTTGGTTTGCATTTCCACTATGGCTAAGGGTGTGAACATTTCCTCATGAATTTATCGGTCATTTTTGTTTCTTCTTCTGGGAACTGTCTGTTCAACTCATTTGGCTATTTATTAATTGGATTGCTCATTCTGTTTAGTTGTTTGAGCTTTTTGTATATTCTGGATATTAATCCTTTATCTGTTGAATAGCTAGCAAAATTTTTTTCCCATTTTGTGGTCTGTCTCTTGTTTCTGGTGTACAGAAACTCTAATTTAATGTAGTCCTATTTGTCAATTCTTACTCTTGTTTCCTGGGCAATTGGAGTATTATTCAGCCATAAAGAACAAAATTATTTCATTTGCAGGAAAATGGGTGAAACTGGAGATCATCATTTTGAGCAAAATCAGCCAAGCGTTAAAAAAAAGCCAAACACTGCACTCATATGTGGAATCTAGGTCTAAAATGACAGTGGTAATAATGAAAATGTGACACGAATGTGAAAGGAGGGACTATTGGGTGTGTGGAATCAGTGGGAGGGAAGAGGGGAATAAGAGAGGGCACTGGGAGGTGAAGAGGTTCAAAGCATATTACATATGTAAGTATGAAGATAGCATGATGAAACGCATCAAACACTGTTTGAAGAAGAGGGGTAAGAGGGACAGGCTGAAGGAATATAATGGAGGGGATGAGTTTATTCAGAGTACACGGTATGCATCTATGAAATTTTCACAATGCAACTCACTTGTACGATTAGTGATAAATTTTTAAAAAGTACCTGTCTGCTGACACCTAGTTTGCAATAAGGTATAAGTGACTAGCAGGCTTATCCTGCTGCAGAGGTGCTTTCTTTGAGAACCAAGGAACTTATTCCCAGAAACAAGTTCCTGAATTTTAGAATGTGCGGAAGTATCAGCAGTCCCCTAGTTCCAGCTCAGAAGATGTGATGGTTAAATTATCAGGAATTTTGCAAGCAAACATTTGAATAGTCAGCAGCTTTAAATTGGTCATGGTGGGAATCTTTACACTACAGAAATCAGCACCGCACTAATGCTACCCCAAGCGGGGAGGAAGTTGTATTCTCCAGAGAACCAACTGTTAAGCATTAATCAGCTGTAAAGCACAGCAGTAGATAACCCTCACTCCTGTCCTGCACTGCTCTATCCATCCACTTCCCCAAACGGAGATCCTTGATGATTCTTCTCCTATAGAACATAAGCAAGAGTAAGACAGTGTGATTCGGGAGGATTCCAGCAAGAACAATCCTCCAAGTCAAGAAGAAAGCACATGTTTTCTGAGGGCAGTTCTAATGCATTCCCAGAAATGCTCACTCTGTAAAAAGAGCAATGAAAAAAAAAAAATAAGATCAGTGTATATTAGAAGCCACAGGCCAAGGGTGAACTTTAGGAATTTAGGAAGTACACCAGCCAGTACTACTTATATGTCCCATGAGTTCATCATGAAGCAGAGAATGCTCCATGATGGGTACAGTCCATGTCTTGGGTACAGCCCATGTCTCTAATACTAGAGCATGGGCTCAATTCCTGGAAATGGATCTGGGCCAGACAGCAAGCTCCTGGCTTTACTCTCAAGGAAATGGAAGCTGCTGCCCATGATGAAAGAGAGGCCTCCCTGGTCTCTCTTTTAAACATGAACCACCCTGGAAAAGGCAACAGGTTGTCCCCTGACCTCCAGCCATATGTCTCCAGCAGGACACTGTGGTGTCTTCTCTCTTCATTCCCAGAGTATTATTTGAAGAGCTTTGTAATCATCATTTTTAAAGCAAATTAGATTATGCTGTCACTTCGGACTTGTTTTGAACCAGGAAGCCAAACCATTCATCACAGCCCAACCCAAATAATAGATATGCAATAAAATGTAAACTCGCAGCCATTAAAGGAAGTCACAAAATGAGTTAACCCAGCTCTAAAGGCCTGACATGCTGACTCTCAGAGCACACAGGGATCAATGCTTTTTCAAAGCCATAGGAACTATAAACTAAATTCCCACAGCTGTAGGGATAGATTTGTGGTTCAGTGAATTTTAAATGGGTAATTGAAATGGGACATACAGGTACAACTTATTACCTAGCAATCGATGGGTATTAAAGAAATCTCACTAAAACCCTGAAAGTCATATCTCAGACAACTCAGCAACAACATTTTGGATTTAATTTTAACAACTGGATCTGATGGGCTGGCTGAGATTGAGACTTTGGAAATTTATTTTCTAGGATCTATTTTGCCAGCATTCTGGGGTGCAAGACAGGATAGGGTCTGTGGGGTGATTCCAGCTCCACAATCTTCTGAAGCAGACTCCAGTAAAGGATGATGAGTTTGGGGGTATTTTCTCTGCAGAAGTGACTTGTACTTATAAGATTTTGAATTTAGGGAAGGGTCTCCTAAATCTTGCCAACCCATTTTCCTGGCCCTCAGTGAGCTGGTTTGCTGGCTGAGGGTGAAGCTAGGAATCCCCATGGTAGGTGCTTAACTGAGCTGTTTCATGGTGGGGCTGTATCTCCTTCCTGGATCTGAGGAACAGGGGATATCCCCCAAGAGAAGGGGGCACAGCACAGGTGCCTTAGCCTGGAAGCCAGTCTGTCTCTTTCTGACCATCAGGCAGAGCTAAGGCTGCTAGTCACCAGACTCCATACAGTGACAGGAATGAAAGATGAGAGTGGCCTCCCTCTCTTCCTCCATCTATCAACTGAATGTTCCCTCCAAGTTACTTTTGGCTTCCAAGATCAAAGGCTGGTTTAGGAACTACAGGCACAGTGTCCTCTCTACATGTTCCTTTGCCCTCCCTCCTCATCTCCCCAACAAAGCACACAGCCACCTGTCCCTGCTGTGGCAGAAACCCAGGCTCCAGGACCGCTCACCAGTAAGCAAGATGCACATCAGTGCTGCCTGTTCATCACAGTGAATTAATATAAAAGTCACTCGTCTAAAAAGCTTCTCAATTATGCATGTTTTTTCACTTTTCTGAATGCTCAGATTGGGATCATGGGAAAAAACATTTTGCTTAAATGAGGATTTTTTTCTCTCTCTTTAAATTCATTGTAAGTTTCTTTTGCTTTTTAGAAAGATAACTTTTCCTTTTTAATTAATCCTATGCAGGCAAGCCCAGCAAATGTGTGGGATGTATGGGAAGGGTTTGAGCTGGCAGCAGTGCAGGATAAAGGGCTTCAAGTGGTAATGTTCTGGATTGCCAGGGACCACAGGGTGCTGACAGGGTGGGAGTCAGACACCCTCCCACGTCTCTGACACTCGGGAGCTCCAGCCAAGCAGAAATGAAAACGGTGTTTTAATCTGATGATTGCCCTACTTCTGCAGTCAAGGAAACTCAAGAGTCAGATGGAAGGGTCACCTGGTGAAGTTACTTACAACTGTTTCTCTGCCATCTTTGTTGCAAAATAAAAGGGAGGTCCAACTTCATGTCCCACGTCCTCAGCCTCTGAAATGAATAATGCGTGTCACCATCCCAGACTCCTGCACACTGTATGTCAGCTGGACCTCACACCCACCCTCTGAGAAACTAGATGGTAAAACAGAACAGCAGCATCCTCACTAACCAAACCTATCTGATTCTTTATCCGTGAAGGGTGAGTTCAGATGGAAGAGTTTAAATGGCAAGGATACTGCTTAATTCCACGTCCTTTGGTGCCTGAGTTTTAGGTAGTAAACAACAT